TTATTGTCCTTTCTACTCAGTAACTTTTTTGTCAGTTTTTGTTTACGCTATCGATAACACTTTGCGTCTTAGTGGATTTATCGCCTTGCTTAAGGTGAAAGACATAGACTAGACACAGGAAAATGTTTTAATGACACCTCTGACTACTTCAACTCTGACTGTTATGTGGACTGTTACTCCGACTGACTACTTGATACTTTTTCCTTATACCGAAAACAGGCGCGCGGACGTCGTAGTGGACACAAGAATACTTAACATAAAAATGCTTAGCTGCATTTATTTGAATGTGTGCTACTTGAAGGGTATACAATTTCTAATAACTATAACTCCTCTAACTACTTCAGCTTGGACTGTTATTCGAACTCTTACTCCGCTCTGAATAATCTATACGTCTTCTTTATAGCTCTTCTATGGCGCGCGGACGCCATAGGGAACACAAGATGCATGGTTTTATTTTAATTTGTTGTCCAAAGTTAAATGCCTAAACGTGTTTTTTTTGGGGGGGGGTGCATCTTGTTGATGTTGTCTGGCGCAGGACGTGCAAGAAACCAGACAGCTGAAACAACTGACATCAACAAGCGCTAATGCTCCAGGTTTGTAGATGTAACGATTTAGCCATGGATGTTCCTTTGGCAACATCTTATCTAATGACATTGAAGACAAGTCAAAATTCATATATGTAGGATTAGTTGTTCTTTTGTATTTTTAGTGTAACGAATATCAGGAATGAACTGACTCTCTATGGGTGTAGGAGGAGAGTTATAGAGGTGAGGCTTGGGAGCGAAAGGGGTGGCAGATTAAACATCTCATATCCCAACATAATTTAAACTTAATTTATACCAATTAACGGGACTCCGTTATAACTTAGCACTTGGTCGGTCTGCCCGCCATCAACATAGCGGATGATAAACTGCAAGAGAGCAACACAGAGAACGGCCATATTGAATCAATTGCTTCGTATACTGCAAGAAAAGTTGATTCCCTGTGTTCTGCCAGAAAATGTTTCTTGTCAGAATCTATCTTGCACATTTACCAATCTACATTTGTCTGTCCATTGAGTAATGTTGCAATAAGTGCTCCTGCTTTACATCTCGAGGCTCTTGACAAAATCCAAAGAAGGATCTGTAATGTAATCAATTCTGACTTGGCATCTCAATTTCAGTCAATTTCTCACTGACGGGACGTGGCTTCCCTTTGGCTTTTCTACAGATATTTTCATGTCAACTGCTCTGACGAGCTTTCTTCCCTAGTGCCCAGACTACATGAATTTAAGCGTGCTACTAGATTGGCATCTATATCCCACCCTTTTACTGTTGAAATAGCTAAATGCAACAGCCACTTCTACATACAACAATTTCTTTTTCTCGCACTTCCCACCTGCTGAGCTACCTCCCGCTTACTTGCTTCCCTGATAACTACAATCTTCAAAGATTTAAATGCAATGTCAATCGCCATCTTCTGTCTTCTTGAACCTTGTTCATTTTTTGTTCTTTCTTCAATCTTCCCTATTCACAGTTTTCTCTTTCACTTTCACACTGTGTAATATGTACTGGTGGCACCTTGCTTGGGGTGAAATGATTAAAAGAAAGAAAGAAAAATATACTGGGCATACTTAAAAAAATAATATCTTTCTCTCTCTCTCTCATTCATTCACTAACTCACTCACTTACATTCATACATACACACGCATATATGCACACACACACACACACACACACACACACACACACATCGCCCGGTCTTTTGAACAGGAGTAAAGGTTTAACCTTTGTTTCCTGATTGGGATTGAGTTTCCGGTTCCTTTTTCTACAGTCTTCTCATTTCTTTCATCCTTTGCGTCTTAGTGACATTATTGCCTTGCTTGGGGATGAAATTATTTTGCTAAAGAAACTATAGGACAAAATCATATTCAGTTCCGCTTAAGAAACACGTATGTGCCCGTATGGACTCATGGTTTTATTTTATGTATTTTGTCCGAAGTATAACGTCCAAATGCACCAGCCCGATGGGACAGCCGACGTCTTCAATGACCAATGCTCTACGTTTTACATGTGTAGGAATATAACCACGGATATTCGTCTCGCAACACCTTATGTAATGGCCTCTAAGAAAATCCGGAAAACATATTTGTATTTACAGTGTTAGATTGTGTCTGAATTTTCCCTATACCTAAAACCAAGAAAGAAGGATTTTCATATCTTCAGGATGGGGCGTTATCAATGGGGAGTGGGACCCAGGGGTCGTGTCACCTAGAAAAAGTTTAGGAACCATTCTCTTAGACGCATCCTGGCATACTCAATTTTCGTAGAACAGATTACTATGAAGGTGCAGACTGGCAAAGCCAATATATTTCTTGCAGGCGACAAGCAAAATGCGGAAGGCAATTAGTGACTGGTTTTTCGGGAACTTCGAGATTGCGTAGGGAATATCAATTAAAAAATACGTGCCCTGTCCGGAAATAACCCAGCCATTTAACATTAATGAAATAGGCTACGGAGAGAAGGGGCGCCTTAGTTCCTGCAAGGTACTCTTCAAGGTACCTCTCACACACTTATACCAGCGTCTCTTCTACTTATCAGATCAGCCTGCACACTTCTCTTTCAGGATCGACACCAGCTGATTCGTCGTGTCCAATCTCGTACGTGGTGATTCGAGATCCCCCCTAGGCTGTTTCTATACCAAACACACTTATAACAGCGGCTCTTTTTACTTATCAAGTCTCACTTCTTATCAGAACAGCCTGCAAATTTCCTCTTTCGACATCACCATAAGCTCGCTCATCGCGTCTAATCTATTCCACCGACAAAATACATCCAAAAGCACGTCATCTGATCAGGACTTTTTAAGGAGCGTGGAACCATCTCTTAATTGCTGGTGTTCCCACGTCTATCCTGACTCGGGGTGGTAGCACCTGTTAGGGTCCCAGCTATGGGCAAATAGTTAACACCCAAACTGGGGTTAAAACACTATAAATCGATTTTAATACCGGTAATACATTTTTGAAGAAAAAATTATTACCAGCAATGCATTTTTGAAAAAATATTTCCAGCAATACATTATTGCCGAAAAAAAATATTACCAGCATTACAATTTTGAAAAAAATATTAGCAGCAATACATTTTTGAAAAAAACATGTTAGCAGCAATAAAAATTTTGTCGGCATTAAATAACCCATTGGGGTTGATATGCCGTAAAACAAAACAAACCACACCAATCTAGTACAATCTCGTTCGTGAGGATTAATCCAAACTTCTAATCAAAACAGCCTGCAAATTTTCTTTTTCGGGATCACCATCAGCTGTCTCATTGCGTCCAATTGGCTGTTTTGGATAAAGACACTTATATCAGTCTCACTTCTTATCAGAACAGCCTGCAAATTTCCTCTTTGGAGATCGCCATCAGCTAACTCGTCGCGTCCAATCATGTTCGTGATGTTTTAATCTCTGCCTTGGCTGTTTTGACCAAACACACTTATACCAGAGTTCCTACCCTTTAATTGTTGCTTAAATGACTACTAACTACCTGAATAATTTTCCCTACCTCCGAGAAGGACACCGATAACAAAATATTATCAGTTCTCGTGTGTTTTATTATGAAAAAAAAAATACCAGCGTTTCTTCTCCTTATAAAAACAAGCTACAATTTTCACTTTCGGGATCGCCATCAACTGCTCCATCGCCTCCAATCGCAATTTATATCTATTGTGTTACGCTCATGGGAAGAGAAGTAAATGAACATAGGGTAGTAAATTTATGAGTGGTTATTTTATTTAATCATTTTAATAATCTATACAAATAAAATATTTATTAGGTTGGTGCAAAAATAATGACGTAATAATGTCGTTTTTGACGTTATACGTCAAAAACCGACATTATTACGTCATTATTTTTGTTTAGACAAAATTAGTTCCCGAGCAATATGAACCATCCGTCTCTTTTCTATGATGTCTTTTAGATTGTCCTCGGTAAGACGATAAACTACAACCGGCAGCAAGGCCTCTGATCGGAAGATTGGAAGTTTTGAGGAGCGTGGAACCATCTCTTAATTGTTTTTGTTCCCAAGTCTACCCTAACTCGAGGTGGTAGGGTCCCAATAATGTTCATACAGTTAACTCCTAACCTCGGTCCAAAACGCTATTAAAATATTTTTTTAAAATATTGACAGCAGTATATAAATGAAGAAGAAAAAAAATAACAGTAATACATTTTTTTGTAAAAAGAAATTTATTACCAGGAAGGCATTTTTGAAAAACTAAATTACCAGCAAGACATTTTTGCAAAAGAAATTACTAATACGGCCAAGAACATTAAATTTCGGCAGGAAATGATCCATAAGAACTTGATATGCCGTTAAACAAATGTTTCTTAGAATATAGTTATTGTGAGGCACGCAAATACCTTTGCCTTCAAAATGATCGTTTTGCTTTAACTTCGATAGGTGTTTCTTGTGAGGCAGCCAGATAACATTGTCTGCTAAGTAACAGGGTGGCTTCAATTTGGTTTTGACATAGGCTTTGTAGTTGCCATATTTGACGTTCTGTTGCTAATCTTCTTCGTCGCTCGATAGGTGTTTCTTGTGAAGCAGCCAGATAACATGGTCTGCAAATAATCTGCAAGCTTCAACTCGGGTTTGACATAGGTTTTGATGCGCCATATTCGACGTTCTGTTGCTAATCTTCTTCCTCGTTCGATAGGTGTTTCTTTTGAGGCAGCCAGATAACACTGCCTGCTAAGTAATCGGCTGGCTTCAACTTGGGTTTGAGATAGGTTTTGTAGTTGCCATATTTGACGTTCTGTTGCTAATCTTCTTTTTTTTCAGTTCTTATTTCTGATACAAATCTTACTATTTAACCCATAGCTGGAATGGGAAAAGGTTATGTAATTCCATTCCCAATGTTATTTGCGTGTGAGTGAATATAACGAACCAATCGGGAATTAGAACTCGGCTCTCCGATTAACAATTCCAAATCATCATCCATTACACCACCCACACATCAAAGGTTACAGCACCTGGTATTCCCAAGTTGTCACCCATCTAGGTACTGACTATGCTCGAAGTTGCTTAACTTCTCTGGTCGTACGGGAAAGAGTATTTCAACGTGATATCGCCGAATCTCATTCTCGAATTGCCCCCTTATTTTCTTGGTATAGTCAGCCAAAGGGTGCACATCTTACGCATGCCCCACGAAAATATTACCACGCCCCATTCCTCGAGGTTTGTCTGTCCTTTACGATCTCTAATTAAAAATGTAATTTTTTTCATGTGAATTATGTCATAATTCACATGAATTCATAGTGTCAAGGGAAAAAAACAACTTAGAGAGAATTGCCGATAATTAGACTTAAGAACAAAGAAAAAAAGCCCAGGCCGCATAGTCCAGTTCTGTATTGGGGGCGACTCCCCAAGCAACACCTCTCCCTCAGGAGCGAGCTAGGATCATTATCTGGCGACATAGATGATCCCTAATCAGGGAGTGCTAATTGCGTTCGAGTAATTTTTTCCCTTGGCCAGGGTACGCATTGTATCCCACTTTAAACACGACTGTCTCCTATTCTGTACGGAGTGGGTGTACAGTTACTATATTGAAAGCAAAAAATAATTACCGGGGAAGGGGTTAACATGATCACAAGAGATGCACCGAGGTTCAGTTTCTGCTTTGAGTAAGTATTTCTGCGTAAGATGTGCATGTCCCATTCGGAATCTGCTTGGAACCATGTCATGTCTTCGATCAGGTAATGGTCCTCTATTTCCCAGCGTGACTGTCGACTGATGTTCGTACAGTTTGTTGCTTGAAAACGTATCTCAAATTAATTCTTTTTATGCCCTTCTAAGCTTGAAACAAGTCCCTTTGTTAACTCAGATGTCTGGTAGAGGTATTAGACATCGCTCGGGTACCCCAAGGTACCCCAGTTTCTTAGTTACTAATTAAAGACACTTTTTAAACACGACCGTCTCCTATTCTGTACGGAGATGTTGTACAGTTAAGTATAACTATGAAGAGTAATGACCTGGTAACTGAAGTATCCCTGAAAGGAAAATCGTCAAGGGGACTGGTCTATTGGTCAGTATCCCATTTACGGGGGACATTACAAGGTGACAGTAGGAAAGCAGGAGGGTTCAAGATGGATGGGGAAAGGTTTAGTTGTCAAGACAGAGAAATTAAAATTCTGCAAAAGAAAATACAACAGAGGGTAGGAAAGTAGTTGGTTGCTGGAATTTTGGGAGATGTTTTGTCGATGTTGCAAAAGACAGTCAGCTTTTACTATAATAGCCATAATTAACCCCTTCCGTTACCGAAAGTGTTTTTGTCAGACGTCAAACCCGTCTAAAACATAACGTTCAAAAAACAGCTACAGACGTGTTTATAGGTCAATCTTGATTTTTTTTTTTTATGCCCTTCTGAACTTAAAACGAGTCCAATTGTCAACTCATACATCTAGTAGAGGTGTTAGCCACCGCTCGGGTACTTCAAGGTACCCCAGTTTCTTAGTTACTATATTAAACATTTGTCTAAAAATAGAATAAATAATTGTCGGGGAAGGGGTTAAGAGACCCCTGCCAAACGGGACATCCGGAAAGAATTCGAAACTATTTCGAATATATATTCAGAACCCACCCCCCGCCACCAAAAAAAAGCCCTCCAACCAGAAAACGATACATTCCAGAAGTTTTTTAATATTTTTGTCGATATGTGGGTGGGAGTATTAAAAACTGTGTACAACCCAAATTAACGTCCATCAGCAAGGCCTCTGATCAGGAGGTTTTGAGGAGCGTGAAACCACCTCTTAATTGCTGGTGTTCCCAGGTCCACCCTGACCCGGGGTGGTAGCACCTGTTAGGGCCTCAGCTATGGACAAATAGTCAACCCCGAAACTGGGAAAAAACACTATGAAAGTGTGAAAATAGGTTTTAATACCAGAAATACTTTGTAAAAAAATTATTTCCACCAATATATTTTTGAAAACTTTTACCAGCAATACATTTTTAAGGAAAAAAACTATTACCAGCAATATTTTTTTTAAAAAAAATTATTAAAACAAACCAAACCAAACGAGTAATAAAAAAGCATTAAATACATTTTTTTAAGGAAAAATATTACGGCAAAATAACCCATTGATTGACAAAACAAAATATTACCAGCAATGAAAATTTTGTCGGCATTAAATAACCCATTGAGATTGATATGCAGTAAAACAAACCAAACCAAACGAGTAATAAAAATCTTGTCGGCATTAAATAACCCATTGAGGTTGATATGCAGTAAAACAAACCAAACCAAATCAGCATTGAGGTTGATATGCCATAAAACAAACCAAAAATCTTATCGGCATTAAATAACCCATTGAGGTTGATATGCAGTAAAAAACAAACCAAACCAAACCAGCAATAAAAAATCTTGTCGGCATTAAATAAAACAAACCAAACCAAACCCCATAAAAGGTTGATATGCCGTAAAACAAAACAAACCAAACCAAACCATTGAGGTTGATAAAATCTTGTCAACATTAAATAACCCATTGAGGTTGATATGCAGTAAAACAAAGCAAACCAAATCAGCAATAAAAATCGTGTCGGCATTAAATAACCCATTGAGGTTGATATGCCGTAAAACAAACCAAACCAAACCAAACCCCAAATAAAAACAAAAAACCAAAAGAATAGGAACAAATTTATTGAGGGTTCGACAATGAAACGTAAAAGAAAAGGATAAGCAAATTTTTCCGTTAAAAAAATCCAAGTTAGGCGATTTAATTAAAGTGTTTCGTAATGCGTTTTTAACAGAGGATGGAAAATGCGAGATTCGAACATGCATTGGACTTGCACAAGAAGCATTTCAAAAGCTAAGATGTTGAGAAAAGGGAAAAAAATGTCGTTAGAAACAAAGACAAGAGTGCTCTTCTGTTATCTGTTATCCATCCTCTTATATAGCAGTGAATGTTTAATAATTCACCGAAGGAGGAGGAAAAACTAGAAGCAGCAGAAATGTTGTTCTCCATGGAAGGAGCGAGTAAGCAACATGGAAACCTTAAAGAAAATGGCAAGAGAAACAACACTTCGGCTCTCTTTTCATGATTCTCAGTAGAAGTTCTTCGAACACATGATGAGGAAGGAGGGCTTGGAGAGCTTAATCCTCACGGGAGAGAGCGAGTAAGCAAGAAGGAAACCTTAAAGAAAATGGCAAGAGAAGCAACACTTCTACTCAGAATCAGTAAAAGACAGCTGAAATTCATTGGACACATGATGAGGAAGGAGGGCTTGGAGAACTTAACTCTCACGGGAGAGAGCGAGTAAGCAACAAGGAAGCCTTAAAGAAAATCGCAAGAGAAAGAATACTTAGGCTCAGAATCAGGAAAAGACAGCTGGAGTTCCTTGGACACCTAATGAGGAAGGAGCCATTCCTGTTTTGCTTTCTTGCATCTAGTTTTATTTAATAGCATATAACTTTTTCCGTTTTAATCTTTTCACCCAAGCAAGAAGATAAAGCCACTAAGACGCAAGTGAACTACTGCGTGTCAGAGAATATGCGAAAAATGCTATTAAGGAGAGAGAACAATAAAAGAACAATGATTAAGAAGACAGTAGATAACGATTGACATTATATTTAAATTTTTGAAGATCAGAGTTGACAATTGAGAAGTGCGATAGAAGAAAATGTTAGCATAGAACTTACGGTTATATCTAGACATTTCAACTGAAAAATGATTAGATCTTGCAGCCAATCTAGTACTGTGCTTAAATTCTTAAAATTCTACGTACTACAGAGGAAAGTTCATCAGAACCATTATGAACCATAAAAGTAGTTATAAAAAAGGCACAGGGAAGCTATATTACGGCGGTGCGAAAGTGACTGAAGCCGAGATGCCATGTCAAGACCAATAACATTGCAGATTCTTCTTTGGATTTTATCAAGAATTTCTAAATATTGAGCAGGAGCGCCATATGCGACAGCTGTATTCAAAGCGAAGATGAATGGTAGACTTATGAATATGGTAGAATATATGCTACGCCATTTCTTGATGTTATCTACTCTCTTTCATTAATTCAATAATTTAGCTTATTGTCCACTTCCATTTCTTTTATGTCTTTCCTCTAAATGACATTTTCCTCATTATATATATATATATATATATATATATATATATATATATAACTATCAAAACTATGGTTGCGTATTTAAAAATCAGGAGGTCGATTTTAAAATACGCAACCATAGTTTCGACCTGACGGTCTCTTCGGACGTAATTGATCATTCGAAAAACTATCGTGTTTCTAAATCGTTTCCTATCGACCACGTTGTCTATCTGGATTTTGACATCTTCTTGCCTTTGTCAAAGCCACAAGCGTCTTGGGTCTTCCTTAAACCAAGTCTTGATTATTACTTGTCCATTCGCTGTCCACTGCTGAACCCATTTTCCGTGCTATGCACCAAACAAAAACTTTCCTATAGACTCAAGTATACTCAAGATATATCGACTCAAGTATAAACCCGTCTCGCGCTTGCCTATAGATTGATGTATCATATGAATGAACTAATGTCAATATTAAATAACTTAATTTCACTGATTAAGAAAATAAGATTGGGTTTTCTAGCTTGGGTGGCAACCAATCTAGGAGAAGGACAATTCTGAATTTAAAACTGTGGAGAAGACAATGCCTACAGTAGTGGTTCTTAACCAGAGTTCTCTCAAACCCCAGGGATTCGGTTAATCATTCTCAGGTGTTCAGCGGGGGTCAAGACATACCAATGATGAATAACCTCGACGAAATCATTGAACTTCAGCAGAGCCAAGTTCAAGAGAAAATCTTCAGAACAACAACGCTCTCGACGTTTTGGTGTCACCAAATTGTAGCGTACCCTCTTATTGAGAAGAAAGCTCTTGAGATGCTCATGACGTTTGTTTATTTCGAGGATGGGAGACATGAAAACGAAGAAAAAGAACAAATTTTGTTGCGAAAATGATATGAGAGTGGAACTTGCCAAAATGAAGCTGCTCATTTCTGAACTTGTTACTGAAAGACAATGTAGAATTAGATTTCTACAGTCTCTGTTTTAAACCTGTTAAAAGAGGATCACAGCTTATATATGAAATCAAAATATTTGTAATTTTGA